CTTTCGAAATGCAATTATTTTGCAAAATGAATAAAAATATTAATTAGCAAGTTATTTTCATTCATTTTCGAGTTTTATGCATTTGTTTAATAAATTTTAAATAAAAAATGTTGGATTTTGTTATTACGTTTTTCAATTTTCTTTTTGAGCTCACTAATAATGCATTTTTGTCTTAATACATTTTTTGCTAAATACATTTTTGCCTGGTACATTTTTTACTAAAATTATGTTTATGCCCGACCTTGTCAAACAACGCCCAGTCAAATCTCTAAGAACTTCAGAACTATTTGTGCTATTGAAAACTATTATAGTTACAATTTTAACTCTTGAAAACTCGAAGGTATTAATTTAGCCGCTGATACTAAAATTCGGTTACAAATTTTAATTATTCCGTCAGGCAGAAATGCTCGGAAAGTGATTTTCTCGCATGACTTCAGCGTTAGCCATTGTTACAAATAAAACTGTAGACTGTTTTGTTTCAACTCATACTGCACATTCAATTATTTTTTACTAGCTCAAAGATCACAAAGCTATCTGGTGTTTGCTTTGTTTATGATTGTGCTTTTAAAACGCGTTTCTATAGAGTAAAACAATTTTAAATCAATGGTTATTTAAATAAATAAAAATAATAAACTAAAAATTAAAATCAATAGATAAAATTTCTTTTTCGTGCAAAGCCAAAAAAAGGTTTGATATTAAAATTATATTTGATTTTAAAATTATATTATACTATTATATTATAAAATTATATTATAATATTCTTCCGAATTTAAAAATAAATTAATGTCCATAACTTTCAAAATTAAAAATAATTAAATAAATAACAACAATTTTGCAAAAACATTAAAGAACATAAGAATATTATTCAATAAAATTTTAGGTTACTTTGAATTTTCGATTTCCTAGAAATGTACTTTTAAATCGTTACTTTTTTTGTTTAGTACTTGTGCTTTTACTTGTACTTTTTACTCGTTACTTTTTAAAATAAGAACTTTTTACTTGTTACTTTTTTTAAGAATACTTGTACTTTTACTGGTTGCTTTTTAAAAGTAACGCTGCCATATATTCACACCAGTTGTTTTGTTTTCTGTCAGGATTGAACTTACGGGCCCTCGTATTCCAACAGAATATCATTTTCCATTTGCAGTATCCAGCAGCCTCAGACGAAGCTAAAATTATAAGAGAAAAAAATTAAACTTTACATTGAAAACACTAAATTAGTTAAAGCAAATTTAAAACTATTAGCATTGAATATTTCTGTAAAACTGAAATCATTTAAAATAAATTTAAATAGGTCTAAAATTTAATAGGTAGATTTCCGTAACAATACCTGAACCAAAAAATCTCAGTATCACTGCGCAAGAGTCGAAAAATATTTCATTTATAGCCGCTCTCAAGTAATAATTTTATTCTTTCCTAATTATTTTTTTTTAAAAAGAAATTATAGTTCAAAACCCTTAAGCCTTTTTCAATTGAAGTGAATATTCAAGTACATATACAGATACAAAAATATATCAAATTCAATGCTTTTTAATTTTTTTCTTTTAAGATAAAGTACAATGACACTTAACTATCAAAATATTTTTGTACATTGTATAAGCTCAAAGAGTCAATAGGAAATATTCACACTTCATAGGAAATATTCACACTTCAATAGGAAATATTGGGATATATTCACACTTCAATAGGAAATATTAGGATATATTCACACTTCAATAGGAAATATTAGGATATATTCACACTTCATTCAATAGGAATTATTAAAAACTTCCTAAATAAAAATTTTAACACCTTTTCAGCACTGCTCTTCATTTAACGTAAACACACTTTAAATAAACCATATTGTTGCTTAGTTTTTAACCATTTGCTATCATTTATAAATTAATATAACTAATCATGTATCAAAAACATGCAAATCTGTCTATATTCAGGAAATTAAGATAAAGATGTTTAACTCATTATTTTACAATATATTAAACAGGAAATTTAAATAATGTAACAATAGTGTTCGTCTTGGGAATAAAATTTCAAACATTCTAAAATGTAATGGTTTTAACTAAAAAGGAGCCGATTAATTAATAATTATTTTTACATGGCAAACTTCTTTGATAAAAATTATTTTTTATCTTTATCATTGTTGCAATGAAATTCTGTCAGATGCGAATTACTATGTAAACATTGTTTTTACGAGCCTATTCTAAATTTACTACAATGCTTGTAATTTATAGTCGGACAATACGTTTTAACAGAGTAGTCAACTTACGTTCTGTTAGAATTTATAAATTATAAAAAACTCTTATGAATGATAAAATTACGCGTAAATTTAAGTACAAATCACAATAATTAAACTTCCTAGAATATTAAGCCTTCTTATACATCACCTAGTAAGCATAACATAAAGCGAGCGGATACTTCAGAAGTTTTCTAAATTTCTTCGGGTTTTATGAAGCCTGTTATCGCTTGTACTTGTTATTACTATTGTTACAACCATCCATAAGAAATGACGCTTTGTCCTTATTTCTGCGAACAAGCAGCAACATTTTGTTCACTCTTTTCAAAATGTGCTGTTTCTGAAAAAAACTGAAACTGGTAACAACAGTAAAATCACCAAGAAACGCAAATTTGTTGGGACTTTACCTCGAACCTTGTTTCAAAATTTATCATACTAAACTTCATTTCAAATAAATATTTTGTAACTATTTTTCTGATTTTCATTAGTATATTATACGTTTTACCCTTATATTTCATAAAATAAATCATAATTTAAATAAGATTAATTTTCAAAATTTTTCTTTTTATGATTATTCTGCCATTTGCATTCTCAGACTACCCTTTTTTTTATGATCTAAATCGATATTGAGAAATAAACTCTTTTATAAAAAAAAAACATTAGATTCTTTTAACTCCAAAATATATGTATATTTGACACATGCAATAAAAAAATACGTAATTTCGATACTAATTTGATTTTAAAAAAATACGCCGAGAGAGAGAGAGAGTAAAATTATGAACACAGATTTTTCTCATATTTCGTCATAAAGAAACAAAAATGAAAATGTTCAAATAAGCAGTTTCAATAATTTCGTTAATCCCAGAATTGAAATCTGTTTGAAGGAAAAACATTTTTATTTGAGAGCTAATAATAGAAACAATTTAAATATTATTGTTTATATCAACTTATTCCTTTATTTTATTGATAGCGTCATCAAAGATAAAGAAAAGCCTCGAATACAATCATTCTGTGGATGCCCTAAATTATGTAGCTTGAATAATTTTAAACAAATAAGTAATAAAGGTTGTAAAAAATAAACTTAGTCGAATTCCTCTTGTAATAACCCTTTAATATATCTAGGATAAATTTTAGAAAGGACAAATAAAAAAATTAATTTTCAAAAAATTTAGAGTAGATCATGGAAGTTAAGTTTTTAAAAATAAATGCCCTTGCAACTATTTAACTTTGATTCCTGAGGGTAGGAAGTATTTTATTATCTCATTCGACTTTCGAAATTTCAATTGTAAATGAAATTCTTTGACGTCCTTAAAAATTCTTTTAAGGTTAGCAGTAAAAAAAATTGCACTGCGCAGATTTTTTTTAGAAAGTTGTGACTAGTTTCTTTTTCTTTTTTTTTTTTTTTCAATTTTAGAACCTCATTATTTTAGTATTATTTCATAAAAGCAAACATTCGCATTTTAATATTTTTACAGGGTTCTTGTGGTCCTTAAAAAAATACGAAAATCGTTCCATCAATATTGTAATTATGAATTTACCTTTAACCTTAAAATTATAATTTTAAGACTTAAGGTTTAGTAGCCAGATATTTGGAGTTGTTGAAACTGGATATTGAGGTGAATATAAAAATGATAAAAAGCATTTTATCTTCTTAGTTTTACTGCCCCCATTTCAGTTTCGCAAAGACCTTATGAAGTCTATTTAAAAGGAGAGTATTGTATCATATATACGTATGTGGTGATGGGGAGAATCGTTTAAGGAATTTGTAAACAAAGGAAATAAACAAAAATAGTAGCAATATTTGGTGATAAATGTAGCTGATCATAAGTGAAGAATATGTTGAGTTGCATTTTATGCTGAATTTCCGAAAATAAGTTTCAGAATGTATTGAAACATCAGGATGCTGTTTACAAATTATCTTCTTACAAAGAAAACCGCGAACTTAAACTTTTGGCAGAATGAAATGAATTTTAAATTAATGAATCATCATACAATATTCTTAAACAATAATTCAATGTTTCACAATATTTCAATGTTTTACAATAGCATTTTTTCTTGTTCGTTTCTTTTATCTCACTTTCCCTTCCCTAAACAAACGAAGTAGATGTTGCACCAAGCAGATGTTTCCAACCCAGTCAGATGATGCACTTGTATGGTGTCAGCAGTGGGATCAATATGCATTTTCTGTCTCATTCCCTCCAGGGAATGAGTAATTATTCATTATTGGTCAAAGGGTTGGACACTAATATGTGTTGATAAGGCCTTCATTTCAACTCCTTTTTGCTCACAGTTCTGTTAAAAAAAGCCAACAAACTACCCTTATGAAAAAATCGAGGTATAAATGAGGTATAAACGAGGTATATTTTAAAGGTATAAAGGAGGTTGTAATTTAAATACGTCGTTGAGGATGAAAAGG